TGATGTAGTGTTCCAGGATTCATTGTTTGCGTGTAACACCCAGTGCTCCACGCAGAACGTGCCCTCTTTAATACCCATCACCAGGCTAACCCATCCCCCCACCCCCCTCCCCTGCCCACACAGCAGTCTTAATGGAGATTTCAGTTGAGGTGATGCGAGGTGTGTCTGGGCACAGAGTAGGGGCCGCAGTTCCTTGGAAGAGACTATTTCCTCCTCTGCTGCCTGTTTTTGGCATTTAAATGAAAATTCCTCCTGCAAGCCCAGGGTAAGTGCCCACCAGGAGGTGGAGTTGCTGGGCAGTTCCGGCCGGCTTCTGCAAGGCCTGCCTGACTTCCCGGACTCTGGGACGGTGGCGGATGTCATCCAGGCCTTCTGATTTGTAGACAGTGTGCTTTATTCACACATCTGCTGCTCCCCATTTGGTTCCGTTTCTTCCGGCCTAAGGTTTCTTTGTTTTGCTTTGTTTTGTTTTTATACCTCACTATAATCTCACATTCATTTATTTTTTTATTGAGGAATAATTAACATACAGTATTAGTTTCAGACGTACAACGCAGTGCTTCAGTAATTCTAGGCAGTACTCGGCGCGCACCATGCGAAGTGTGGTCACCATACGACATTAGTATAGTATCATTGACTATGTTCCCTGTGGTGTACTTTCCATCTCCATGACTGACTTATTTTATAACGGGTACAAACTTGATCTGTCTCTATCTTCTTTTATTTATATCCAGCTTCCTCTCTATTTCACCTGTCACACTCTTCCCCCCCACCACCACCAGTTTGTTCTTTGTATTTTAGAATCTGGTTTTTGTTTGTTACTTTGTTCATTTGTTTTTGTTTTAAAGATTTATTTATTCACTTGAGAGAGGGAAAGAGAGAGAGAGAGAGAGCAAGGAGGAGGAGGGGCAGAGGGAGAGCGCGAGCGCACTGAGCACAGAGTCTGACTCGAAACCCAATGCCACGAGCTGGGATCATGACGAGCCGAAACCAAGAGTTGGACGCTTAATCGACTAAGCCACCCAGGTGCTCCTGTTCATCTGTCTTGGTTTTTAGATTCCACACATAAGTGAAATCATATGGTATTTGTCTTTCTCTGCCTGACTTATTTCACTTAGCATGAGTTTCATCCGTCTTGTCATAAACAGCAAGATCTAATTCTTTTTTTATAGCTGGATAATATTCCATTGTGGATATATGCCACATTTTCTTTGTCCATCCACTTATTGATGGATGCTTAGGTTGCTTCCCTGTCTTGGCTTTTGTAAGTAATATTCAATAAACATAAGGTGCATATATCTTTTCAAATTAATATTTTTATTTTCTTTGGGTAAATATCCAGTCGTACAATTGTTAGATTGTATGATATTTCTATTTTTAATTTTTTGAGGAACTGCCACACTTTTCCAGAGTGGCTGCACCAGTAGTGTGTAAGGGCTTCCTTTTCTCCACATCCCCGCCAACACTAGTTATCTCTTGTCTTTTTGATACTAGCCATGAGGCAATATCTCATTGTGGTTTTGATTTACGTTTCCCTGATGATGAGCAATGTTGAGCATCTTTTCATGTGTCTGTTGGCCGTCTGCCTGTCTTCTTTGGAAAAATGTTTAAATCCTTTGCCTATTTTTTAATTGGATTTTTTTGGTGTTGAGTCATATAAGTTCTTTATATAGTTTGGATATTAACCCCTTATCAGCTACCTTATTTGCAAATATCTTCGCCATGCAATAGGTTGCCTTTTAGTTTTGTTGATGCTTTCCTTGGCTTTGCAAAAGCTTTTTATTTTGATGTAGTCCCAGTAGTTTATTTTTGCTTTTGTTTCCCTTGCCTGAGGAGACATAGCTAGAAAGAAAAAGCTGGAGGTATCACAATCCCAGATTTCAAGATATGTTTCAAAGCTGTAGTAATTGAAACTGTGGTCCTGGCACGAAAATAGACAGAGAGATCAGTGGAACAGGATAGAGAGCCCAGAAATAAACTCACACTTACACGGTCAGTTACTTTACGACAAAGGAGGCAGGAAAATGCGATGGCGGAAAGAGAGTCTCTTCAACAAATGGTGTTGGGAAAACTGGACCACTTTCTTATACCATACACAAAAATAAACTCAAAATGGATTAAAGACGTCAATGTGAGAGCTGAAGCCATAAACTAGAAGAGACCACAGGCAGTTTCTCTGACATTGGCTATAGCAACATTTTGTGGATATGTCTCCTCAGGCAAGGGAAACAAAAGCAAAAATAAAGTATTGGGGGACTGAGGTTTCCTTTTTGATAATGAAAAGGGGGAATAGATTATAAATATACATCCAAAGCCTTTACTCTTTTCCCTATATAAAAAAAAATAAGTAGAGAAAAGTAGACTTCCTGAAATACTTGCTATCATTTCAGTTACTGGGAACTCTGGAAATGGTTTGTCCATCATTTAAACTCAGGTGTCCATCTTGGTGCAAGCAAGATCATTTGGAGCATCAAAACTGGCTTTGAATCAACTGACTTGGCAAATAGGAAGGTGAAATCAACTTGGTTTTCCATTTCTTGAGAACCACTACTTTAAAAGGGGCTCAGACTTTCCCTCTGAGGCATCTCCAGCATCCCCAGCACTTCCTATGAGCCTCGGACCACACTGAAGGGGGGGATGGGGGCGCAGTGAGGGGACCCTGCTTGAAAGATGACACAGTTAAGGAAAAGCAAAAACTGAAGCTGATTTGAGTGGCTTTCCAGAATTTCATCTTCAAAGTCCTCGTTCCTGGATGCTCTTAGATTTTTTTCCGTGGGAATTTTGGGTGAGCTGGGAGGGGTGTAAGTATATTCTCAAAGCAGAGGCTTTCTGTGCAGGTGTACAATGAAGTCCATCCTTCCCTTTGAGCACCCTGTGTCTACTCTTTGTCCTCCAAGCCCCTCTTGTGTTTATGAAGCAGACAGTGACCTCTAAAACCAAGGCTAGGAAGGGGCAGCCATCACTCGAATATATGGTACAGTGTGAAGCAAAAGCAGGGTGAACCCAGTAACAGGCTGTATGAAAGCCTGGGAAGTACATGGGGGGCCGTAGAGCTGAGGCCGTCCCTGCTGGTGTCCTTGAATCTGCCTCAACTCAGAGTTGTCCTGTGGCAGAAGCTTTGTGTCTGTGTGCGTACCTGTCCAGATGTCAGCTTGCTCTCCGCTGTGCCCATATTTCCCACCTGCTGCCCTATAGCCTTCTGGACCTTCTCTGCACCCACGTCTCCCTTCCCCTGACCTCAGTCGCTTTGTGGCTAGTGTCTGGAGAAGAGGAGGGGGACATAGGACCCAAGTGGGGACCGCACCGATCTTGGTCCTGCTGCTTTTCTTCTGAGACACCATTGCCCTTTTCCCAACAGTTCCCGTCCAAACTGCCCATTCCTTATCTCAGAATACCCCCTTTTCCTGACTCTGTCAGGTCACAAACAGGGCTTAGTAACCACCATTCTCTCAAGAGATCACAAAGTTTTCAGGTCCATGAGACCCATTTGTTTGAGGGGAACATGTAGACCTCGGTTCACTAGCTGTGCAGTGTAGTGGGTAGAAGTCCTGTCTGAGCTTCTTCATTGTGTGACCTAGACAGATGACTAAACATTTGGTTCCAGGTTTCTTCATCTAGGAAATGGGGGATAGGTAGTAATACCCACCTCACTGGGTTATTGTGAGGACTGATGAATTCTCGTGTGTAAATTGCTTCGTAAACACTGGTGATGTGTTCTTCTCTGGCATGCCCTTCACCAGGTAGTTCCTGGGGATTGAAACAGAGAGAGAATTATGTTGTGTGAATTACCAGAATAAAGTCTGAGCTGAACTACCGGTACTCAGTTCTCCTTCCCCTTGACTTCTGTGAGTGACACCTATCCCTGCCTAGGACTGTTAAGAAAACGAGAAGAGAGGCGCCTGGGTGGCTCAGTCAGAGGAGCATGCGACCCCTAATGTCAGGGTTGTGAGTTCGAGCCCCACATTGGATGTAGAGATTACTTAAAAATAAAATCTTAATTAAAAAAGTGAGAAAATGAGAAGATAGAATTTGTGGTTTCAATCCAGCTTAAAACCTCATGAAAAAATTGCATATTTCACACTGAGAAAAGGGTGTAAATAATTACAATTAAAAATTGAGTTGAAAGAGCTAAAAATTGCCAAAGACGTCATCCCGTTAGGAATCTGTGAGTGGATGACAGAACCAGTTCCTTCTCAACTGGTTTTTACTGACTGGAAGCATTAGTGAGGGTTTCTGGTGTCTCTCGTTTGTAACTCAACTGCCAGAGGCTTCTGGGGACTCTGACCCCATGAGTGTGTGGTTGTTTGAAGTCATTTCTCAGTATCTCTCTGTAGTTGTGACTCCTTGGAGTAGGGTCTTATGATTTCCTGAGTGTTGCTTATCATTTCCAGTGTCAGAGTTCAAAACCTGGTTCATATCCTAGGACACAGTGATAGCCTGAGTAGCATTTGTGGAGACCGCTTTCCTGTTTTGGCCCGGATGCTGAGGCCGCGCTGAGTCTCCTGGCCAAGCCTGTCTGGCCAGGCGTAGTGTTGGTTGATCACCTTTTTCGAGGACACGGGCTTTCTGACTTTGGGTGGCAACCTTCACTATAAATGGGTTCTGCATCATGATCCAGTATACAAATTTGGAAGTATAACTGCTCTTATTGTTTGCAGCACGCTCTGGTATTTTCTATCCTATTCTGTTAAACTTTTTCATTTAACATATTGGTTAAGACCCTCACTTGGGTCATGACCCATAGTTTGAAAACGTATCTCCAGAAACCGGAGCATAAGTTAAGTTGTGGCTGGGACTGCATAAGACAAGAGTTATCGTGAGGGTTCTCGTATTCTAGGTAGCATTACCTAAAGTACATTCTCTCTGTGCGTTACTTAAAAAGTTTCCACGATTAAACAGTTTTGGGGAGCTCTAAGTTAATAAACAGGTTCTTGTACGTAAGGACTTTTAGAGCATTTAAAACAAGCAGTGGTTGGCAGACGACTTATATCAGATCACCTGGAAGCATTTTAAAAATACAGATTATTTTGTCTTCGCCTGCCATCCTGAGTCAGCACCTCCAGGAGTGGGGTTAGGAAACTGTTTAGAAAAGTCCAATAGAACATGCCCAGGCCAACCTGACATGCTGCCGGGCTTGGGAGCCACTATGCATTGTGACTCTCCCAACAGGAGACCTCACAGAGCATTTTCCCTTTACTCTCTTGCCTCAGGAACCCCTCTTCTGAAGATCTCTTGAAACTAGTGATCTCCAGAACACATGTTGAGTAGTGTTTCTGTAAAAGGTGTTCCCCTCTTTGTTAGAAAGAAGTGGGCGGTTATATTCATAATCATAAAGTATCCCTCAAAATTTTGTACCAGGGACAGGTCATGTTCTGCCTTTGGCAGTTCTGATCTAGATAAAGGTGATGAAGAGTTCATTAGATGCTAACAAGCAAGATCAAATTCATGAATTCTATCAATACATTTCTATATCTCTGTGGCTATAATTTAAGATTAAATTTCAAGTCCAAAGACTGCTATTAATATTAGCCAATGTCAACATTGGCCAAAATTGTTTTTGTTTCAAAAGATAATATGAAACTCTGGAAACTCAAAGTACTTGATTGTTCATTAACAGGTAGTGTTGAAATTCTTGAGGACAGGAGAACGTTTTTTTGTTTGTTTTTCTTTGAGAGAGAGTGCGCATGAGCATTGGGGGTAGGGGGAGTGCAGAGCGAGAGGGAGAGAATCTTAAGCCGCCTCCATGCCCAGCGCAGAGTCTGACTCAGGGCTCGATGACCTGAGCCGAAGTCGAGTCAGACAGCCAATTGATTGAGCCACCCAGACGCCCCAGGAGAACATATTTTTAATCAACCAATGAAAGTGTTGATTACAGAATTATAAGCAATCCTAATGAACACACTTTCTAATCGTTTACATGCATTGTAAATGTCCTGAATGTCCTTTTTCTCCTTCTAAAAGGATAAGTGTGGATGCAGGGAGGTGGCTCTGCATGGTGGCCAGAGTTATCCACGGGTGCTCTCCAGTTTGGAGTCAGCACTTTGGATGAATTCAGTCCACGGGTAAAGGTGGATAATCCTGCCGACCCGTGTTAGTGTAACAAGTCTTGTTCTAGGGAAACTGCAAGGGAGAAATAGAAATAACACCTGATCAGATATCAGCAAGTATTTCTCTGTTTGTGTAGGTGTGGATATGGGGGTGTGTTTTCTTAAGTTGTGTTACCAAAGGCAATTTTTCTGTCAATGTATTTGTTCTGACTTAGAGATAAAGCCGAGTCTGGCATTTGATTTAAAATATTGGGCTCAAAGTTCTATAGAGAGTCAGGAGGCGGTTGGGGTTTAAGATAAAAATAAAACTTCTGCCTGCTCTATTTACAGTTGGTAATATAACTTGAAGTAGCAATTTTCTATAATATCTTTAGATATACCATTGTCTCTTTAGATGGTTCACTGAATCCATTTTCTGAATTGGGAACTGGAGGGAGGTGAATGGGGGAAGGGTAGTATTTGCCACAGAGGGTATGTCGAATGCTCTCCTCACTTTGCCCCCATGTAACTCCCACACTCCTGTCCTAGAAGGTAAGTGCTGTTGTATCCACATCTTAGATAGAGAACACTGAGGCTTAGGGACTGTGCCCTTCCCAAGATCGGTCAGTAAGTTGCTGTGGCCAGAATCCAAATCCTGGCCCGTGTGGCTCCAGTGCCTTTGCATTCTCTCCCTACGCTCTGCTGCCTTCGTCTCCTAAAAGTCTCTTACTTGGTTTCTACCTTGTTTGCTGATCTGGAAGATACTGGCCAGCCCAACCCAGGCTTTCCCTGTGTGAAGATATACAGGGTAAACGTGGGCAGTAAGACATAACCTGTAATGCTACATCGTGCTTACTGACTCATCCCCGGTTCTCGATGTGCTTGTCTTTCTGGTCACTGCATAACTGAAAAGAAGATGGTGTGCCATTTTATGTGTCCTTTAACATAGTAAGTGGCAGCCTCATCTATTTTTTTGGAAGCAATGAGTAGAAATTATATGAGCTGAAATTTCCTGTTCAACTTCACAACACTGTCCTTGGTTTGTGGCTTTTGAATAGTCTTCAGGAGACTTACGAAGCGAAAAGAAATGAATTTCTGGGAGAACTTCAGAAGAAAGAAGAAGAAATGAGGCAAATGTTTGTGATGAGAGTGAAGGAGAAAGAAGCTGAACTTAAAGAGGCAGAGAAAGAGGTAAGCCATCTGCCTTCCTTCAAGGCAGAGACAAATAAGCGAGGTGTGTTATTAATACGTCACATTTTCTAGAACTTCATGCTCTCCTAAGTACTTTCTACGTGTATCTTATCATGTAAGCAGTAGACTGACATGGTAAGGAAAGCAGGTCAGGCATTCTTATCCCCATTTTACAGATGATAAAACTGAGAGGCCTGGAGGTTAAATGATTTCTGTAGTCACATACCTAGTAAGTAGCAGAGCTGAAACTAAAACTAGACCTTAGGTCTCCAGGTGTGGTCCTGTATTCTCTGTAGCTCCGTATTTCCTCAATTTGTAAGTCTCCGCAACGTTAAGATTTGGATTCTGGGACCATGATTATTATTATTGTGGTCTCTCAGCCAACTCGGTGAGGTAAACGGTGGAGGGGCCCTTTGCGGGCATGTACTTGCTGCTCCGGTGTCCTTGTGCCTGCCTGTCATTGCCCGTGACCAGGCCACATTAACTGCTTCCTAGAAGCTGACATGGATTTCTGCTATAGCACTCATCCCATCGAGACAGAGTGAGAGAGAGAGAGGGAGGGAGAGAGAGTAATTTATTTGTCTCTGATGTTAGATAATATCTCAAGTGCATATCTCAAGTGCTTGAACTATAGCTCTGTACGTTTCCAAATTATCTACATAATTTCCTCATCATTCCCTTTGAATTTATCTTTATAAAGACTACTGAAATTTAGTGGTTAAATAGCTAAGCACTCAATAGAGTTTTGCTGCAGAGAAAGGAAAGTTGATCCTTATCTGTTGTTGGCTATAAGTACCAAGTGGATGCTGGATAAAAATCTAAAATTAGTAAGAGTTTTTTTCTTAATTCTTTCTGTCCTTCCTTCCTCCCTGCTGTTGTTTCTGCCTCGTGATAACTTTCTAAATTCGATTTGTCAAGAAATTTGCGAGAAACCTCCCAACAGATTCTTACTCTTTGAATAGCCTATATCCTCTGTAGTCACCGCGTGTGTCTATAAGTAAATGTATATTATACGTTTTGGAAAAGGACCAGAAATAAAGAACTACTCTTACCACTCGGGTAAATTGCTAATTAGGAGCGTGGATAATTTTTTTTCTTCTTTATGCTTCTTACAATGAATATGTATTTTATTGTCATTAAGAATGAACAGGATTCCCTTCAGCGCCAAGGCATCCAAGTCGCAGAGGCACGTAGTAGGGCTCCTCCCCGCTGTGCTTTGCCAGATGGTGTTGCCCTCGCGGGACTGACGCAGCTGTGGCAGCACGGAGCATGCTTTGATTTGGAGCGGATCCACATGACCTGGCAGCAGTAACTTTTCACTCCCTTCACCCAGCTTGCCCTCCTCTTTTCCTCTCCAGCTCCATGAGAAGTTTGACCTCCTGAAGCGGACACACCAAGAAGAGAAGAAGAAAGTGGAAGACAAGAAGAAGGAGCTGGAGGAGGAAGTGAACAGTTTCCAGAAGAAGAAAGCAGCCGCTCAGCTACTACAGTCCCAGGCACAGCAGTCTGGGGCCCAGCAAACCAAGAAAGACAAGGATAAGAAAAAGTAAGCGGGTGTCCCCCCATGCTTCGGGGCCCTCTAACAATTTATTCCTCTTGCATGTGTCTACTTTTCCCATTTACAGACTGGAAACTGGTCTGTTACCAGAAAGATAAAAGCAAGTCTTTTCTCTACAGTGCAGGGAAGATGATACAGGTTTTTAAAGTATTTGTAAAGGGTACACAAACATTAATTTATAAAACTTGACCACACGACCAAGCAATCAGGGCTGGAGGAACCTGCCGTCTCCAGTGGCATCTTCTGCACCAACACTAGGACTCTGGAGAAGACAGTCTATTTCTCTTCACTACTCTCTGGAGACAATCCTCATGACTCTTGGTGAAGGGCATCCTAAAATGATGATTGTTAAGATTTTTCTCTTCTGTGTTGCGAGGCTTGATCAGCCAGTCACGGGAAGTCTGTCTCCAAAGTGGAAGATTGGGGCAAACTGCTAGTGGCCACCTAGTTTCCCCCTAAATTCAACAAGATGGTGAACCGTTTCACTGTGGAAATGGGATCAAAATACCCTTTCCATTAAGACACCCCCACCCATCCTCAGAGCACACAAAAGAATATTCTAAGCTATGGCCTTGATTTAATGTGCCAAAGGGTCAGGTTCTGCTCTTCAGTTATTCACTTCGAGGCATGACTGCAGTAGCGGCCGCCTGAGTCCAGTGGGAGAGTTGGGCCTGCCTTGAAATTCTCTCGTGATTTGAAGTGCTGCATCAGATCACCTTAATGACTAGAGAATGCAGTGCGAGGACAATCGCTGCTGGGTTGACAGTAAGCACAGTGGGCAGTACGATCCCTTCTAGGAACACCCTTGTGGCGCCCGGATGGCAAGCCCATGGGCGCTGCCCTCCTGCGTCTGTTGAGCGTGCGGTGCTCTCAGGGCAGTGATACGGCAGCTCAGGGCGTGTTTCAGGATCCCTACTCTTTACCCTCAGGTGCCAGGGTTTTAGGGGAAAAGCTGACAGTTAAGTAAACGGTAAAGCTTTTGGTAGTCAACTAGGCAGAGAATTAAATCCTCCAGAGTAGCGCAGATTGGAGTGGATCTGCACCGCAGTTGAGACCCATCACGGGGAGGGGGTGAGCACACACACTCGCCCCTGCCGAGTCTCCTCACGTTGCCTATGGCAGAAATCACAGTGCACTACTATGGGGACGCACGGAGAGGTTTTAAATTCTACCTTACAGACTTGGACTTTCCAAGCTCTGAGACAGCAGCAAACGTGTCAAGAGGGCAAAGAAGTAAGCACATTTTCTAAGCAATGGAAAGCAGTTGGTGTAGGTGTGGTGTGATTTTAATGGGGTTGGTACAGACCCGAGGGATCAAGGGCTCCAAGGGCTGAAACTTTAGTTATGCCAGATTAAGTCTGAGCATAACAACTGCCTGGATTATAATCCAGTTCCAGAAAGCACTTTGTGCTGTGCATGTCGGGAGAGCAGCCGTCACTCCGGTGACATTCCCCGCGCAAAGACTCAGAGATTCGTGACTTTTCCAGTGAAGACGAAAGGGAAGTCATTTGGCATCATACCTTTGTTGATCCTAACTAACCCAAGATAAAAATGTGTGTGTGGGTGTGTGAGTGGGTGCACGCACGCGTGGGTCCACATCCATAGGAATGGATGACACAGAAAAAGCTGCTGACTCACAGCTTAGGAAACCCAAAGTCAAGTTTTTCTTACCCTGAAGCACTAATGTTCATAAAGGTACATGTTTTAGAACTAAAGATGTTTATAAAAGGCCAGCAACGTTCCAAGGATGTTTCCCGTTGCCTGGATGTGCCTTTAAGCAACACAAGTTTCACGAGCTGATCCGCACTGTGCCTCTGTTGGACAAAAGTCTATGTAGTGACAGACTTCCCCAGGTAGGGAGGTTTCTGTTTGCCCTTTTGATCATTTTAGGTTATTTTCGTCCCAACCTTGGGCCTTAGCAATGTATAATGCTTTTCATGTTTACATGAAGTATGTGTAAATTCTATTTTAGCCTTATTTATACATTCTCATGTATTATTAATAGAATTGGACTTCATCTGGTGCACAAGTAGTGACCAGGGTTTGTACCTGACAATGGCACATATTTTTTTGGTAGGTTCTTAACCTTTTCTACAACTTTCCCATAACACTGAAAGCAACTGCCAGTCACAGAGCTGAGGTGTAAAGTTAAAGAGCCCCCCTCTCCCTCCCCCGCCCCTTAGGGCCCCGTGAGAGTTTGGGCTAGAGATGACACAGAAAGTCACCAGGCAGCACTTTGAAAACGAACGGGAGACTCTTGGCCTCTTCACGTAGCCAGAGAGATGCGGGGGTCACCATACGTGCCCCTTAGGAGCTGGCTTTGTTTCAGGGAGAAAATTGTTCCAAAAAGAGATGCTTATGTAGGCACTTGCTATGCTTCCACCTGGAAAATGAACTTAGTGTTTCTAATAGTTCTAAATTCTGTTTTTCTATTCTAATGACACGCTCCCTTTTTAACGTAGGTAAGGCTTTATGCTTCTTGACCCGTAGTGGCCTGAAAGTCCATAGTATTTCCTAAGGTGACAGGCAGAGTCGAGCCGGCCCCGCCTCCTGCCCTCCCCGGCCTCCTGCCCTCCCCGGCCTCCTGCCTCCTGCCCCTCCCCGGCCGGCAGGGCGCGTCCTTGTTCGTGGCGGCCACGGTGCGGCCCTGCCCGTGGTAAGTTCAGTGGACAGCGTTCTTCCTTTCCGAAAACTCTGCACCGTGGCCAGGAGGCCTGGGTGGTGACGCTTCATCCATCCCGAGAGGTCTTAAAATCCATCGTTTTAAAACGGTCCCCGGCATCCGATAACTACAGTTTATACGGTCATCCGCTCCTGTTTACTTTTGATCCTCGCTAAGGAACGAGGTTGTACGGTGCGGACGCGCCTAAAGTGAGGCGTGCGGCTCTTGGATGGGGTGTTGCACTCCACCTGAGCGCGGGGGCGGCCCCGCGCGGCGGCGGCCGGAACCGCGGCGGGATGGGCCTGCTCCCCTTCCCAAGTACGTCATAGCATGTCCTCCGCCCACTGTACTCCAGTCCCCGAGCTAACTGTTCAGAGACGTTATTGTAGATTTATTCTCTGACTCCAGCCACTCAGAAATGGAAAGATGCAGCTCCTCTTCAGCACCGATGTGATGCCCAAATCTAATAGATAATGTTTTATGTTATTTGAGAAAATGAAAATCAAACAGTAAACCCTTCTACGATAACATGGAGTGGTTTCAAGAAGTCACTCATAAATTCTAAATTACATGCAAATGGAAACTAACCATGTGTTCTTTAATTCAGTATTAAAATTTTGCTTTTGCTTGTCATGTAGAATAGCTTACTCAGATTCGTGGTTTTAATTTCTGTCAATTCCATCATCATTGCATGAGCATTCACCATCACCGAATGCTGGTGCTGGCACTCCTAATTTTCCTTTCTTTTTTATTTATTATTATTTCTAACTTTTTTGTTTTGTTTTTTAACTTGCAGTGCAAGCTTCACATAAAGCCTGGCAAGCCAAGGATGGTCCCGCATTCACCTGCTTTTGCAGTAATATTGTATCTCTGCCATCTGTGTCCTTTTGTTTTATTTTATTTTATTTTTTTTTACCCTTCCCCAGACACCAATAACTATTAACTCATTTTGCTGACTGTTGTTGGGTAGTGGAAAATGATAGAGCAAGAGAGTAACACCAAAAGCTATGTGCAGCTGGACTTTGTTTCTGGAAAGCAGATGATTGGCCTTTATGCCTGTTCGGAGTGGCAGCAGGAAGCAGGCCTGTGGCTTGTATGTTGCTTTGGACCGAGGGATGGAGGGTCAATGGCTCCATGTCCGTCTGTTGGGAGAACTCACCGCCTCAGCAGCTGAACTATAACCCCGAATACCCAGGACAACAGTTTGTTTTTCTTGATTTCTCATCTCCATGGGGGCAGAAGCCCTGAATTCCCTCTGCCTCTTCTCCATACCTGCCCCGAACCAAGGTAGCTTCCTACGTAGGCAGAATGGTGGGTCAGCTTTTTAGGACTTTTGCATTTGTGTGGATTTTTCATTATTATAATAACATTATTTGACCTGTGTTGTGGTTCTCCTCAGACCGTACCCTCTTACGGCTTTAAAAATGTGTCTGAACCCCCCTCCCTCCAGTCCTGGCCAAGTTGGACCGTAATGAGAAAGCTGATTATGTTCGCTTCTATCAGCACAACCTTGACGCGGTCCTAGTCAGCGATCTTGAAGGTCAGGTCATGTAACATGGCCTCATAGAAGCATCCTCTACTAAAGATGACAGGCTTTCCACAGCCTCCCTACTGCTTACAATAAGCATTCTTTCATACTCTCCATGGGCAATGGCCAATTCTAGGACATCAGTACTTCTAATGATACTTTTCAATAATCACAAGGAGAAAATTTTCAGAAATATTTCAGCTAGAAAATTTGTTATCAACTGTATATCATCTGCAGCCCCAATTCTGAGAGGGGACCTCATCAGTTTCCGGTAGGAATGGGGAGGAACGTAACACAAACCCACGAGTGGAGAAGGTAGAAGTTCAGCTGACATCCAGCTTCCTTGCATAGTCTCCTTCTCATATATGGCAGTAAAGGGAAGAAGAAATAGAACAGCTAGTCTTTCAAATCCAGTTGTCTTGAAGGAATCTTCTCACCTTTTTCCTCACCCCAACTAGCGCTACGAGCCCATCGCCCCATCAACAAGGATTAGGGCCAACCCATACGCCGTGACCCACACTCCATACCACATTTGTGTGGGAGGGGGCGTATTTAATCTCTTTTCTGTACTGTTCCTTTGTGAGGCTTATCCTTTCATCTTCTTGATTTTTCTCCCCTCTACTAACAAGAGCCTCCCACCTTCTAACTCTGTAGTCTCCTGTTTCTTACTTGAAAGAATAATATTTCTCATGAACTCCACCTCTCGCTTCCTCCTGGCCTGCACTAGTCCTACATTAGGTAAATAGGATAGAGTATACTATATCTCCCTGACCAACACACACATACCTTTTTTTTTTTTCTTAAATAAGTCTCTAGTTGATTCCAATAAAGTTTTTTTCTCTTCTTTTCATCCTCAAACCATACTTTTAGGGGAAACAAGTTATGGTCTCCCATGAACTGATGTAGGCCTAATTAGGCGAAGTAAAGATTGTTTCACTGAAGGCCAAACCAGGCTGGGCTAGAACTTGCAGACTGGAAGCCGCAGTGGTGGTATAAAGACAGGCTTAGGAGCTACTGGACTAATGTTTTTGTTTTGTTTTGTTTTTTAATGATTCTAGTCCAAAGCTAGCTGTGGAGCAGCCAAATACTAGACGGCATGCCGAGTCTAACCGTGGCTGAATTTGCTCATATGCTGTGCGCCAGACAAAAGCTTGAATACTCGTGTTGTATGCTTGTTCCAACTGCTGCTTGTGTGAGCATTTTTGTGCCTTGTAACAGAAAATATACTTGTAAGTTCCAAAAACGGTCACCTTAAAATTAGCATTTTTAATGCATCACTAAAGCCTTTTTGACAGTGAGCCTAGCTCCAAAAGGCATCCAGCTGACTTTTTGATTCCAAGATTGATTGTTGATTGATTGATTTTTTTTCTCCCCCATGAAAATTTTCACAACAAAATAAACCGTATGGAGAGTCAGGGAATAAAAAATCAAAAGAAAGTTCTAGAAGCTCTCTCTCTTTTTTTTTTTAACATGTTGCTTCTGAACTCTTTTTCTACCCCCCGCTCCCTGGCCCTGTTTGGTTTGTTGTTGCTGCCCTTCTCTTCTTTCTGTATCTGTGCCTTTTTTCACAGTAGTCCTTGGCTCTGCACCGAATAAATGATACCCTCAAATCTAATTGGATGTGCTTTCGCCTTTGCATGTAAGTACAGTAGTAAGAAAACTTTGAGATCTTTCTGACTTTTTAAAATTAGAGAAACAAATGGGATAGATGGGTTCTCCCCCCGCCTTTTTTGGAGGGAGGTAGGGAGGTATTGGTTTGAGTAGCCTTTGTTTATTAAGAAATAAAGAAAACACTAAATATATTTAAAATAGCCACATTTGTACCTTTCCCACAATAAATACAAATTCAGCTTTTCCTTGATACCAATATGGGAGTCAGAAATTGTTGTTCCCAGGCTGCATTCCACACAGCCTTGTGGGCATCACTGGATATTACAGAGGGTCCTTGGTTCTGACTATGGAGTAAAGCTAGACTAAGAAACTACCACCTTCCTTTGGAGAAAACCAAGAGGGAAATATTTTTTATGTTAGGTTGCCTTTATGACTGCTTAATTTTTTGCTGATCTTGGTTTAATTGTCTTTCCCTCCTGCTAACTGCTGGCAGTGAACACACCTTTTTTTTTTTTTTTTTGCCAGACAGTTCTAGCTGGCCTCTCCCCATATCTTCTGTTCAACCATAATGACCATTGCTTCTGGATTTTAGGTCCCTATAATGTTTGTATGTACAGTAGGATGACGGAAAAGCATTTACGAGAATTTACTGGCAGTTAGAGACTATGTTTTCCCAGCTTAGGCTTCTTATTAATTGGTCAAAGTTTTGTCCAGAAAGGGCATCTCAACCAGGGGAACATTTAATGTCACATTGGGCACAGGTTACTTACTATCTTCCTTCTCTGCTTTGTAATCTCACCAGCAATTACACTTATTCTTCACATCTTGTGCACCTCAAACGAATGGACTGGGTTTCTTCACTTTCTTGACATTACCCCTAAGTGTTTCACATCCAGACTGTTGAATCTGGGTTTCAGCTGTTAACCAACCCATGTCATACTGTGTGTGTGTGGTCCTTCCAAACCGTCCTTTCAGATCCCTCTGCTTTGCCATTTGCAAGTGTCTGAAATTGTCAATTCTCAGCTTCCAGAAGTCTTGGTTCCACTGACAGGATACATATGTGATGACTCTTTAGTGGAAATTATGACCTACAAAGTCTAGATTGTATGTAGGTATGAAGGGAATTTTTTAAATAAATGAAAAGCTGTGAACAGCATTAGAACTTTGTCTATTTCTTAATTTTAAAATATGCTGATATGCCTTAAACTGTAGTTGTAGATCATTGTCATTTTGCTGTTTGAAAATAACCAATGTGTTTCTAAAAGTGTTGTGTAATCTACTTTTGGTGTTAATGCAGAATTGTCATATATGTAAGCTGCATGTTAGACACTTGTCTTTTTTAAAAACTAAAATAATTGTATTGATATGAAGTCTATCATTTTTTCAAGTGAGGAAGTAATCACGTAGCCACCTTGCTCAGTAATTTGGTGTCTGTTAAGGTAGGAGAGCGGTGGACAGGTAATCTATGCATATATCACTAGTGCCAAGACACAACGTGGGGGAAAATATATTTTTACCCAAACAATGTGTGCCCTCTTGTGAGTTCTTTTTAGTCACTGTTTGGTATGCATATGTACATGTGATTCTTGTATTGGATAAAAGAAATAGGAATGAAAGAGTCTCATGCTTTCCTGCCTTGTCTGGGGGATTTCAAACGCTCCCCAGTGGGCAGCAGCACCTGCTCCGAGATCCTTGCCGTGCGGTGTCCTGTACGTCACATGTGGTCTCTGCCTCCCTTTCTCCCCCATTCCCACCCCCTCCTGTCCTGACTGTTGTCCCTGGCGCCACCCCACCCCTGGGCCCAGCGGAGGTAGCCACCTCTTGCCCGGCCTCTGGCGTCCACACTGCCAGGGCTGCTCACTCCTGGCTGTGCTCACGGAAGTCAGCCTTCTAACTGACACACTGCTGTTTTTCCCCAGTTGTTGTAGAAAAGCTCTTTTTTTTTTTTTTTTAAACTTTAAGAATCAAATTTGAATCTGAATCTTTCTTTTTTCTCCTCTGTAGCTTCTTCTTTATGTAGTCATCCTGTTGACAAGCCCTACTCCCCCCTAATGGACATAGAGCATTAGAAGAGCAGGAGTGTCTGTTCACGCGTGCTGGGGAAGAGTTACCTCATTTCCACCATCGCCTCCTATTCTTTTAAAGTCCGGGTCAATTCCTGCCTTGCTGTTTGTATTTGTCAATGTCTTTACAAACCACTGCCCATAGTGGTTACTAAGGTGACTTTTCACTACCAAAAACAGTAATACTTAATAATGCTTAAAAGGAAATTGAGTGAAAAAGAGAACTTGGGCCAAGACCCAGGGTAGCCATGTGTTGGGATCCTCTTGCTTAGCTGTCATGTTCTTGAAGCTGCCAATCTGAGAACTCACGGACTGAAGACAGCACATACCCTACTCTGAGGTGGTCAGCACCTCCAGGGTCCACAAACTCGATCTCGTGTTAACTCCAGACCTCTCTGTCCCATGTGTGACATTCTGAACAGCCCCATCGGGACCCTCAACCATCAATCAGGTCATAAGAGCTGGGCAACATTCTCCTTCCTTTTGTTAGTTTTTATGGGTTGTTTTGGAGTTTGGGATTTTTTTTTTTTTTTAACTTTTGATATTGCATGAACAGAGATGGCTACAATTTTTTTATTTGGAGTGTTCTATTGATGCAATGTTTTTATTTTTCAGCTGACCATCCGCCTCTTGAGAGAGAGAAGTGGGCATCCTTCCTTTAAATTCAGGAACCATTGTTGTTTTATTTAACTCTTTTTCTGTGACCTGCATCCCTTATATAAGTTGTTTTGGGTTTGGGATTCTGTTTGGGGGAAAAAAATTTTTTTCCAGTTAGCCAGTTCTGTTTTATGTATTGGTTATTCAAACTTAGTTTGGTATCAAAACTATGCCAGTTTTAAGTTCAAGAGGAAATTTAAGTGAAGTTTTAGTCACAGAATTCTGTTTAAGAATCTCTCCTCATCTCAGATACAACCAAAAAAAAATCCCTCTGCTGTCACTGGGGTTTTGACCTATAAGTCTTAATCATGTTTAAAATGTGTCAGTGTTGGGTAGAGGACTTTTCTGCCTCTAGGACTGAATTTATACTTAAAGGTACCTTAAAAATAACTTTCTGGCCCATCCCTGCCTTTTTATTTATTGGGAAGCTGTGCTTTACCTTGTTTCCAGAGTTTTTGTATCCCGGACCATGGGAACAGACCCAAGGGAAGTATATAACCTGTCCCAGACAATAGCATCATTACAATGGTTCTGCTCCACATTGTCTTCTCAGTTACCCGTGTGGCTTTCTCTACCATGTCTGTGAAAAATAAATTTGCTGGAATTCACTTAAAATACACCCAATGTACAAACACACACACTTCTGGCAGTTGAGGCTGTGATTTTTAATGTTGACCCATTTGTGAGGGACTGGATCAACGCAGGGCTATTGTTAACTTTATTAGCAGTCACCTCTTAGGGGCAGTTTTCATAATCAAGGGATGACTTTCATTCAAATTCAGTTCTATTTTAGAGCATGAACATGCATTTTAAGTTACCTTATAATTTCATTACTTGTTGATAGTCTTTGCTTCTTTCCATCATTTTTCAACCTCATATTAGGAAGACCCTAAAATTACTCTTGGTGGCATGGGTTGTGTTCGGTAGAGATCCTTAGGAGTGTTCCCCTCTGAGAATGGTAACATCTGCTTCCGCTGAAAGGTGAAATGATGAAGCAACAGTCCCTGCCTCTTGAGTCACTTGCTTCTTGGAAAGAGGTCATTTAAAGCAATTGGATGAGCTCTGCTGGCAAGAGGCTTTCTTAGAAAGATATGTAATTAAATGCAATAAAGTCAGGTTCATCTGAGCCATTAAATGCTCAAAAGAGAAGCGTCAAGAGCCATCCCTTCCACATTACACTATAATCGGTAAAGGTCTAAGTCTGCTAGTGACGTCACCGGTGGCTTGGGGGCGGACGGGGTGGGTACCAACTCCCAACCAACGCTGGAGTGCGAGGTATCAGTTTTGTAAGTCAAACACAAACACCCTTCTGTGTGAAACCACTGTAAGCACTAAGTACAATAATTGGATTAATTTTTAGTATTTTAATATGAACTTAACCCCATCACTCATTTTAAAAACAAATTCTGCATCAGGTTGTAAAGACATGTTTTGAGCAATATTTAAAAATCAAACCAGGCATTTTTAAGTAGAGAAATGTGTATTGTTGCTATTCCCTTTTATTCCCCCATTTTGGCCAGGTTGGAGGAAGTGTGGGGGAACAGGTTACTGTAGGTAGGTTGACCTCTGTTCAACTACCCAGGGAAAGCTGATCATGGACACCACCGGTCAAGTGCACTGTCCTCCCCATTAAGATTCGGCATTTTACTTCAGGTGGTTCCTTTTCTCAAGTGTTGATAAAACTGATCGGTTCTCGAGTTCTCCTGGCTGACCAACTAAGAGCTGTGAACCCATCCCGGGCTAATTATCATCAATAGTAATGATTTGCTTATCCCAAGCTAGACTGTGGAAAAGAAAAGCAAGAACTGAGTCATCTGAACCCATTTCCATGGGGAATGGGCCTTTTATTTTTCATTCAGTCTTTTAAAAAGTATTACTGGATTTCAGATATAGACTGCCTATTGCCTTGCGACAAGTGTAGTCTAGACGGTCTCCTTGAGATTGGCACAGCACGTGTATAAAGGAGAGGTCTTCTGAATCAGCATCTGCTGAGCTGGTGGGGCAGAAAAAAATCAGGTCATCTTCCCAATATGCTTGGCCAAAGTTTTCCCCCCATTTTCCCATCAACTGTATCTGTAACATGAAACTTCCTTCTTAGTGAATGATGGTTTTTGCCTATTGGCCCAGCTTATTAGTAAACAGTTGTGGTTATCTGAAAAAGTCAGTACCTAATTTTCACTGTATTTAAATGATTTTTCTACACAAAACCTTTTGCTTTGCAGATGACTGTCCTCTTTCCACCCTGGAGACTGACAGTGATGTCAATGTGGATCACTTTGAAGATCCTTGTACTTGAGTCCTTAGGACCATGGCATTTCGTCCTTGTGATGGACACCATCTGGCTTTCAGATCAGTTTCTAGCAAGTAGCTGAAACTCTCCCCTGGCCGGTGAAGGGATTTAATGTCTTAATTTGAAAATACTGTGAGCCTTCGTATCCACTCACCTCCCTTTGCAGCTTCCTAGTCTAACAAGTAGCTGTACACAAGCCAGACCTCTTGGTGGCCAGTGGAATAGTGAGGCACAAAGGGAGATCTCACGTCTGCCCCCAACCACTTACCTGCAGTGCTGTGAGTGGAATGGCATTTTGGCTCCACTGTGGAAACTTTCAAAACTACAGCGCTTAGATCAGAGGTGGCAGAGGCTATTAATGAGGTTGGTCCCTGCCCCCCACCGCCTCCCGCCCAGACACACAAAGTGTGTATGGGGAAGGGAGCGCAGAATAACATGCTAGAGTAGAGTTCGGCTCAACTGAGCATTCTCTGTACAATGCTTTCAGAACTGTGAAGGTACTGTTCTAGCTCTCCTTGCCCTTTATTTACATCCATCCATCCACCTTCCCCACCCTCTGCCTCTCCCCCTTTCCAAATACTTCATTCTCTATACTGTACCAGGCCTACGTTAGATGCTGGGGATGTAGCCAAACACTACCTCATGAACACAGCAAATTTTTGGAGCAAAAGAAAAGGTAAGCCCTTTCTATGCTAAATTGCTAAAGACAGATTGTATTCTGAAAAGTAAAAGCCCTCTCCTCCCACCTTGCCCAAATTGCTTTTCAGTGGTTGCTTGCTTAAGGTTCCCCTTCATTCTAGAGTGTCTTCTTGCCTAACAGTCTGTGAGAAATGAGAAACCAGTTCACTGGGCCTATACTGTTCTACTACCCTGTCGTGTAACACAGTAAGATCAACAATTCTAGCATTTGACACGCTAGGAAGATTGTACTTTACAGTCAAGAGAAAGGGAGTTTTTCCCATTTTATCCTTAACTCAGAAGCTCCTGAGAACTAAAAAAACAAGTTGTGAGCTTTTCCCAAATTTCTCTGGTAAGACATTCTTGGTTACCTCTTATTATGCCTTTTCAATAATGCAGAGATGGCAAGAGGGAGGTCTTTGTCTTACCCATGGGTCTTAGGCATAATAGTATGTCATAAAAACCACTAAGCTCCTCATTATGGGGAGTGAAAGCTTTTAATTCCTTGATACAACCTATGCTGTTTAAGCCTGTACTTCATCTTTTCTGTCTGAATGAATTAGGTCAAATCCAACTCAAACTGAAAGCAGCAAGGTTTGGGGACTTGGAAACTAATCTTCTCAACTGCATTTCTAGGTTATGTTGCAGGACTAGACAACTCAAGAAAAATTAGGATTAGTTTTGTAAAACTGGTTCTGTTTTTGTGTTTGGTATGAGACCTATCTGGACACAATCTGCCCCATACCTCAGCAGATCTTGCTCATTTTCCCTGAGTCCCAAATACACAGGTCCCCTGTGCCTTAAATGATGTGAATTTGTAACTGCAAATGATGTTAACGTTTGGCAACAAGAGACAAGTGTTCAAATGCTCATTCTCATACACTAAGCCTAAGTAATTCAATTTTTCCTAGAAACTTAAAAAGATGCTTTATTTTCCTAGAAGCACCATCTAGTGGCCAAAGCTCAAAACATTAATATGGGGCATAGATAGGAGACCTCCTCCTAGTAACAACTTAAAGGCTAATTTCTAGAATTTTGGAGGCTTCAGAATTGTTAGACAAAACTTCACATTGGCAAATATAAAGGGGTAAAAATTCTTAGCTATGTGGCATTAGACAGTTCTCTAACGCTCAGCTTGCTAATGTAGACCAGGGATACGATCTTTCAGAATGGTTATGAGAGCAGATGGCACAATATCTTCCTTCCCTTTCCAGCTGAAAACGTACAAATTACCTTAAGGATGACGATAAGCTCCTCACCATGTTGGCCAAGAATCAGCAGCTTAATCATATCGTTAAGTGAAAGGCCACTGTGGTGCTCTGGGCAGTAATGCTCAAGCATGACTGACTTTATTTCAGGAACTCCAGAAAGAGAAAATTAGGAAACTTTAAAATCCAGGTATGTAGAGTAGAGAGGACACACATACATGTTGTTTCTAACACTGGAGAAAAGAAATGCTATTAGGGGGCAGACAGACACCAGTGTCTTTAATTCCCTCAACGGCGGAAATGTTAAGCTCAGTCTCATCTGCTGGGCTGCGTGAAGAGCTAAGCTCTAGCTAGCTTCCTTCAAGACAAAGGCTGTGTCAGGAACATTTCCAACAAATCGGTTTTATCTTTTTATTGGCATTTGGGAGCACTCCCCCCTTCTCGGTCCTTCCCTCCCCCCACACACTAATCAATCCTCTGTAGAAAAGATATTCAGTTGTCCACAGATAACTTTGAATGAAAAATACTTAGCTGCTTCACTAAAGTTCATCTTCAAGAGTCAGAGGATGCACTTTTTCTTTTAAAATGGGAGATTAGAGAGTGAGTAATTTATGCCCAATCATCAAGTTTATTCCCTTGCCTTTGTGGAGGCTTGGCTTTCTAAGCATCAGGAAACACCAGACAATTACCCATAAAGTTCAAGTTTCCAAATCTTGGAATAGTTTGTGATGTGATGCCAAGACTGGCATGCTCTCACAAACGGTTCCATCAGATGAAGATTTACGATTTGGAAGGTGAGAAAAGGACACAAAAGAAAAACTCTTGTCAAAACCTACATTCCTCAGTCACACTTAAATCCCCTTTTCCTAAGTTTCACTTTCTTTGGTCATATATTTAGGATTTTTATCATTTCTGTAGTTGAAATAGCAGTGTCTAGCAATCAGGAATTTGTACCACTTTGCAAGTAGAAAAAAGTTAAAGATAACAAAGGTTAAGGACAACTTTTATTGCTACCAGAGGCTTTTTATCATCAGTACATGGTTCTGACTGCAATACCGTCTTCAGACTGCACAGGGAGCTCAGGATCCAGAAGTCATTAAGAGAAATACAGGTAGGGTGAATAGCTTTCATCAGGAAAATACTAATAGCTTAACATAAATCTAGGGTGCTGAATTCAGTTATTACACGGTACAGACCCCAATCACAGAGCTGCCCCAACATCTAGACAGTCTCTCCTACTGATTATAAATGAGTGAAAATGGATCAGTTACCAAAAACAAAACAAAAAAACCAAAACCGTCGTTGTTACATGTTTCTTTGGTGAGCACCTGGATATATTTATCCCAAATTCTTTTATACAAAAGTCAAAAATGCTTTCAACAAATCTAAGAGTGTCCTAATTACATGCCACTTTTAAGTTCCAATTTAAGATAAACAAAAATGAAAACAATAATTTTGTTTCCAACCTCCAAGAATCGAAATGAGACAAACACAAAATCAGTGTGGTCACGCCAGTCGTTCTTCTATTACCACCTCTCCTTCATATGGGGCAATTCTGCTTTTCGGATTAATTTGAATCCTGGATTAAACATGGCTGTCACACGGAAATAATTTATTCACTAAATTGCTAAAAAATGATTTTGAGGGTTTCCTAATCAGTGGAAGTCAGGCTACAGATCCACATGCATAAAGTTCATTCAGTATTCAATAAAGAAGCAAGCAAAAACGAGGAAAATTAAATCCGGATGCTGGAGACAGGGTGTGTGCCAGCTATGAATTTTGGAACTTTAAAAAAACCACTGAGTATGAATCTTTGAGATGGGTCAATCTCCATTACATTTTAGCAGAGAAAAGGATGGAACTGACACTACAAAATTTTTTTTTACTTTAAAAAAAATTTGGATCTTTTGAATTTCACACTTTTTTTTTTGGTCTTTAAATGCTTAAATAATGTTGATTATAATTTGCCACACAAGTAAATGGGCTTTTTTTCTGGCTCACTTCAGATTGGCCTGCTAAGGTATACACCTTATACAGCCTTTCCTGGTTTTCCCGTGTTCCCCTTCCCAGAGTAGTCTACCTTAGTTTGCACTTGAAGGTAACACTGGAAGCTACATGACAGAAACTGGCTGCAAAGGTGGACAAGGGGAAGCATGTCCCTCTTGCCTTGATAAATCAGTGCCACATACAGAACCCACATTTTCCGAAGCATTATCTTCATTATAGAGCCGTTTGAGTCCATCATAGAAGTCATCCACTTCCATCTCCTCTACTTTGCGTTTAGCAGAGGTATGCTTGCACCCACGGGCAGCTGGGGGCTGATGGCAGAAGGCTGCCGCACCTCTGACTGGCACTTCCGGTTTGCTGTTGTCCTTGGAGAAATCTAAATCTGGGCCTGCGACAGAGGAGGGATGTAATCTGAACACTCCTTTGTCACAGGTCACCAGGGTGTGCTTGAGGGGACGGTAGACGTAAACGGAATTTAGAGGCAGGGAAGACTGCAGAGAAGAAAGGTGATGCACCACAAGCTCCCGACAGTGGATCAGCTGGGAGCTCTCCATCTGGGCCAGGAGGAAAAAAACCAGTCGATCGTTTAATTAATAGACTACTCTGTCATTTTGCTGGCCACTTTCCCTCCCTGTGCCCTCTGTCCTCCCCAGCTTTCTTTTCTCTCCCACACCTTCTACCTGAAACTCATCGATCCCTCCAGCTAGGAAATGTGTCCAAATCTGTACTTCTAACGTCAGACTCTTTGGAACTTAAGTTCTGTATTTGAAAATATATGCTGAACATCTTCATGAAAACAAACTATTCTCTTTTGTTCACTGTGTATATCCAACATCTACATTTGTTCAGTCTATTCCCTCTGTCTAGAAGACCCTTCAAAGACCCTTCACCTCACCCTGTTTGCCTCTTCTAATCTCTTCATGAAGACACAAGGACAGATAAACACAAAATTCATTAAGAATTTAGGGAAAAAACCAGAGGCATGAAAAAATTTAAGGGATGGGGATGGTCATTTGGCTAAGAATTTAAAACAATTTAACTATTTTGTTTTTAAAATAGCAAATGAGAACTTTGGATAAATAACTATCCTTCAGGATAGTTCAGGTATCCTGTCTGAAGCCACCCCTGACTCTCCCTGGCCCCCACACCCAAATTCCAAGGTCATCTGTTTCTATTTCAACTTGTCATCATACACCACATTGTATTAAAATAATCTACTTAACCATTTAGCTTTTCCTTTATAGACTATAAGCCCCCCAAAGGCAGGCATTGTATCATATTCATCTTTATTCCTTAAGTTTCTTTTCTAGCACAATGACTACACATGAAAGGCTTTCAAAATCCTCCCTGTGGTAAAGAGTACAATTAGTCTCTCTGTCCTACTTTCCCTAGCAACATACATTTCTCCCCTATTCAAATATTTTAGCGGCACCCCAGTGCCTACCAGAAATAAGCTAACCTCCTTAGCTTGGTATAAGGCTCTCCACAATCTGAGCCCAACCTTTTTTCAGCCTTATTTCCTGGCATATCCCAAACTGTGCTCTCCATTTCTGCCAAACAGGCCCGCCCTCTCTATTCTGTGCAAATCTTGCCCTTTCTTACTCTACTCCTGCTCATCCTATTTCTACCTAATGAAAATGTATTACCTATTCCTGCCAGGTCTGGCTAAATGCCGCCATCTCCAGAAAACCTACTTAGACTATTAACTATCAGGGATCACTTTCCAGTCTTGTGTATTTTATAAGTATTTTTAGACATTTCTTAACCACATCTTATTCGTACCCATATAACCTACAGTACACAGCATGACTGTTTGCAATACCACAGAGAAAATAAAGGAAAATAGCATGATCTGCAAGAACAATGAACACATCCGGTCACAAGACTTTTTATCTCTAAAAATATTCATTACTTGTTACCCAGGAAAGTATCAGTGGAAAGAAGAATGAAAGGCAGATGTTATCATCACAGTACAACTGTTAAAATGCCTAAAATTGTCAGAAACAATACACAAAAATGAAATGACCATTTTTAATTTCTACCATTTGGTTCACTAATTTTTTTCCTTGTTTGAAAGACACTAGATAACACCCTAAGGGTAAAACACTACTAGCTAGTCTTAGAATTTCTTTTCTTCCCTTAAAAGAATTCATAATACTTAAAGATAGTCCCCAACTATTAAGCTTACAACTGTAGGCGAGGGCTTATCATGTCCCAGGGATGCAGAACAAGCTGAGCCATGCTAAAAACAAGGAAACAAAAAACAGAGAAGAGGAACAGGGCTTTAAAGCTCTTTCAGGAGCTTTTGTCAATACTTCAAGAAGCTTGTAAAAGGGAGGTCAGAGAAGTGAAAGAAATTGGAAAGTGAAAAAAAGGCTAGAGTATAAAAATTATTTCTGAAAAGTACCTACTCTAACAAACTATTCCTTAGCAAATGACTAATACTTAGGGGCCTAGAAAAGTAAAAGTATCACCGTATTCTAATGCCTTGGTCACTGCGCATAATGCCACAGCAGAATTCTACAAAGCAGAGTTCACACAGATGGTACTGGTTTGAAAAAGACATACATTTCAAGTAAAAGGAAGACTACGCCACTATAATCTTTCTCTGTGCAAAAAGTTAACAGGAAGTTATACAGCTGGTCCTGAACAACATGGGGCATTTAGGGGCACCAACTCCCACAGTCGAAAATCTGCATCTCATTTTCAACTCCCCAAAAACTTCACTAATAACCAGTAACAGTCAATGAACACATTTTTGTATGTTATATGTATTATATACTTACAATAAAGCTAGAGAAAAGAAAATATTAAGGAAACCATAAGGAAGAGAAAATATATTTGCAGTCGTGTACTGCGGTGCAGTTCAAACCCGCACTGTTCAAGAGTCAACTCTAATTTAGAAAATGACAGGGCAAGAAAGACATTATCAAACCAACACCATCTATATGAACTTTATTTCCATCCAACCAAATCCTTTGTCCAAAATAACACATCAAAAGAAATTCCTTCTAATCTACTACCTGAATTTGTTCTAAGTAAACAAATCGAGTGTGACCCTTGTGTTCAGATCCACTGGAGGAAACAGAACAAGCACCTAAACTGGAATTACTACAACTTCAGACACCAGACAAAAGTCCTCTAATGAAACAGTTACCAAAAGATTTAAAATGAACTCATTCTAATTGCGGGATATTCAGAGGACATTTGTTACTTTTCATGACTATCTCCTCAAATTTCAAATAATGGTTACCATTATTGGTGTAGAAAAACACCACTGTAATGCAGCTCACCAAGGAAGGCAGAGCAGGAAGCACAGGAAGTTTGCAGGGCAGACATGCAGATGGGTTACTGATGAAGTGGGCACAGGAGAGCAAGACCTACATGACACGTTCAGATGGCCCCAGGAAGGCAGGCAGCACGAAGCACTGAAAATACCTGCTGCAGCAGTCTGACCTTCAGCACCCTCAAGAACTGGGAGACCCTGGTGGGGAAGGCCTGCTTCTCTAAGTCTCCACTCTAGTTTTAAACTACACCACGGCCAAGAACATCTACTTTGATGACCGTCTAGCTAGGGACTAGGGGAATGACCACACTCTAAGTAGAGTTAATATCCTGAGATTCTCAAGGTGGGTCACATTAGTCAGAAGGGTGTGAGTACAGCTACAGAGGTCAAGCAAGGGAAGAGGGGGTAAGAGAAAGAGGGGAGCCATCCCAGAAGGGTGACCAACAGTAGCACGGGAGCTAAGACAACAGGGGTAGGCGACTAGGAGGAAGGCTTGCCTTTCAAACCAGGAATCCTTGCTCTACTTGGTCTGCAGTCCCAAGCGAACAAAGGCAGAGTCAGTGTGAGCGGCCCCCTTACAGCATGGCATGTCTCTGATGGACACTGGAAGTCCTCTCAAACCGGGACACGGGCAAACATGGCAGAAGTAATTCGGGCATGATCTCACCAATACGTTGCAAAGATTTCCGAGAATCCAGGAGGAATATTTGATGGCCTTATCACGCATCTAACTACAAGATATTAGACCTGGTATTCCCACCTAAACACAGGTGAACTTACAGCAAAGACAGCACTGAGCCTTAAAGACTCAGGATCCATCAGGTTTGGGCCACATATGTTGGCTATCAGTCCCAGTTGGTATTAGAGAACTGTTAAGACCAAGTTCCAAAGTCTGTGGTGGTGTTTTTAACTGTCTTCTCCATTATAATTTGAATACTACATGGGGCAAGGCCTTTTCTCATTTTTTACAATCACTGTATTCCCCAGTGCCTAGATCATAGATTTTTCAATAAATGTTTGTGGACCATAACTATTCGTATAAGAGAACTGAACACTGGTTTTCAAACTATGTCCAAACAGCTTGCAGAAGGGAAGAGGCCATGTGGATTAAGGCTGCACCCAACAGGTTTCTGCCCCAAATACATATTAGAAAGTATTACTTTTCTAACTTTATATTCTGGGATTGTGTGTGTACAAGATTTTGCTGGAGTCAAGGGAAGGATTCTTGTTCTAAAAGAAACTCTGAAAACCACCAAACTAAATCCTTAAGGTGTATATGGGAAAGCACTGGTTCTCTACTAAGCAGTCCTGGTTGTCTCTGAGTAAGTCCCAAGTTCCCTGAACTGCAGGTTTAAAATAAAGGAGTTGAATGAAATGATTTCTAAGAAGATTCCTTCAAATTAAGTCTGTAATACTCCTTCGGTAAGAAGGGAACAAATTTCAGTGAACATTCTTCTTACAGCACCAAAACATCGGAAGACTCATGAAAGAGAATAAGCATATCCTCTAGTATTTTTTTAGTGGAGAACAAGCTCTCAGAGCTACAGAATACAAATTCTATTTACAACAGTCTTTTTATGCTTCAAAGTCTGTCCTTTCTTTGTGACAGCAACACTTCATATAGCAAATTTTCTCTGTACTGGCTTTGGGAATAGGCACAGAGACCAAGTCAGAGCATTTAAACATGTCAATTGTTCCAATAAAAAAATGGAAAATGAAATGCAGAGGTTTTCTATTAATATCCCTTCCCCCATTTCCACAGTCTAATGTAAATGATTAACATTCAATTTCACTTAACAACGCTGTAGGTAGGAAAGTAAATTTCCTGTGCCACACTACTATACTTATATGGTGGTTTATGATAATTTCTAAAAATTCTCACTAAATAGCAACTATCTCCTAGAATTATCTCCACTAAGCATTTATTTCAATGGAAATACTTCTCAATTATAACAATCTAAGATATGCTATTAAAAGAAAATGTCTCCCTTGTAAAGGAGAAACAGCCTGTGTTACCACCAACATCCTATGCCTGTCCTGGGGATGTAGAGCAAGCTGAGCCACGCTAAAAACAGTGGAACAAAGCACACAGAAGAGGAATGGGCCTCTAGCTAATATATTGCTCTGATCACCAACCTTTTTATGAAAAGACCCTCAATCCTTCTCTGCTCACAGACTAAGGTCTGAAATTCTCAGAGCTGAGAGGTAGTACTGAGGTATTTATATGTCTGCTAACTTTTACAGTTCATATCTATGACACATCTTATAACATACGAAATTCAAGTATTATTCTGTTTTTCTTCTATAGCATTCTAAGTTCTGTAAGTTCGATAACTGCAGCTTTTTTATTATAAAATGTAATTACTTAAGCTCAGAATTTAACAGTCTTTTCTCTAAATAAAATCTGGTAATGTACATCAGAATAACTTCATCAAATAAGAATAAATAGGGACATATAAAGGGAAAGTAGATCCCTAAGTCTTTTATGGACTTATTTGGCAGAGGAGTATGGTCTGCAGCAGATGTAAACTTTTAAATTCTATTTGGTGACATGAATAGAACCAATAAGCTTATCCAAAGTAGTTGCTAACATATAGCACCTTTACTAACTTTCCATTTGAATGAGAATTTTCTCCATTGAAACTCCTGCATTTTATATAGATAATTGATAAAAAATTTAACTGGCCTATAACATTTTATGCCAATTTGCAGAGAGAAGTGATGCAAAAATCTTAGGCAATAATAGGAACTACCAGGACAAAACCTCTTTCAGAAAGATGGCTTCTACTTGCCAAAGTCTAGTACAAATACTTCACTTCCTAGCCAACAATAAATTATTTGTCTAAAAAGCAAATTCTTGCCATTTGGTTTTAATTTATCTTTTACAAAATAAGTAGAAATATAGAAAGAAGTACTATGATGAAACCTACAAATGTAGCTAGGAAGGTTCTTCATACAAAACAAAAGGACAATGTATTTTAGAGAATCTTATTAATTTTTCAAGATTCTTAAAAAAAGATTTTAAGTAACCTAGAAGAAGGGTTGAAAAGAAGCAAGAAAATACTATCTAAGCTTTATAAGAGAAAAAAGTTCACCTAGCCCATAAGTTTAAAGTGTGTATTACTTTACTCTTGTCTCTTCAAAGTGGTTTGCCATTACAAGATTAGATTGTCTCTTAGTTTTATAATCATTTACGTATCCCAGGAAGAGATGAACTTAAAATGGACACTTACTTTGACTGACACCTTACCTGTGCTTTCTGAAGCAGTTCAATTGTAAGAGGAAGCCAGTCAGGAATAAGTTTCTCCATTTCCAAACTAACCATGGCCAGAGCAAGCATGGATCCTTTGAATTGCAGAAGTTGGTTGCAGGCCATACAGTGAAGGAGTTGCTTGGTAAGGACTGCCAAATGTTGAGAGGGGCTCAGTTTGGGCAAACTGAAAAGTAACTGAGGCCTAGCTGACACTGCAATGGCATGGAACTGAAAAAAACCACAAGAACATAGTACTAGTTTTACTTAAAGTTTTAGGTAAATTATATATAGAAATTGATGTAACCTCAGGTATTACTCAATTTCTTAAGTTTGTAATTTTAGCTTCATGAAATCTGACACAGGATAATATCCTAATTTCTAATTTTTCTAAGTCATAACAAATGAGTGGGCCCTCTACTTTCCTAAGTTACTAAGACTACATTTTCCCATAGAAAACTAAGAGAAAACTAAGAGACATTAGGTGTATTTACAATGTGAAGAAAATCCAATGGTGTAGCTGTGTGAAGATCCCAGTTCAACTTATCCAGAATAATCCTCTCCATCCTCAGAATTTCAGATGAAGAACATCCACAGAAACTGTCTCTTGCCAACACCTTCAGTACTGGAATTCTCTGTCCAAAACAAAGCGGAATGGGGCAGAGTGAAGAGGAGAGGAAAAAAATAAACCAATTTTCAGTTTTTGTTCTGGTAAACAGAAAGCAAGTTAATAAATGGAGAGAAATTTTCAAGAAAGAGACATAACTAATTTTTAAAGGAAAATATTTACCTCATCCTCCTCAACAGTCTTGGCAGCTAGGAAAAAACAGCTGATTGCAATACAACTCAAGTATTTTGGATGGGCCTATAATTTTGAAGAGGGGAAAAAAGCAACATCAGTGGTTTTCAAAAAGTTAAGAGAGTTTATTTTTAAAAACTAGATATGCACTTCAGACAAGTATGCACAAAATTCTAAGGAATAATTAATCTGATTCCCACCTATTACTTTCTAAAACCAGGGCTAACTTTTAACTTCACAACCCTAGCCATGATATATTCTATGAAAATACTAAGATATTATATAGTTAAAAGTTCAACCAATGCTAGTTAGCCAAAGTTAAATATCTATCTAGCAGAGAAGAACTTACTCTTAGAAGACAATTTATTTAATAAATAAAATTCCAAAAATTAAAAATCTATTTGTACATGTGTGTATTTTGTAAGCTAGTTTTACTCTTTTTATCTGTCATTATCAGTTAACACTACCATACTAGATGTTAAGGGAATTAAAGAGAAAGAGACAATATAAAATAAAAAAGACTATAAACCTATTCCAGATGCTTTAAGAAAACTATAGGGTGTTAGTGGGGGAGTAGAAATTTTCTAATTAAGTGTTCACAAAAACAAGTATATATTCAAGTTCCATGGTGAGAAAGAAAGGCTCCTAAATTCATCATCAATTAGGAGGAAAAAACTTTCTAAACGGTTTGACATGCATAGGAAGGCTTGAATTTGCCTGTTTTCCTTATCTAAGATAAGGTAGGACTACTTTCTACCTCACTGTTAGAATAAGGGTTTGCCAAACCCAGCATCAGAATCCAGTTTTAAATAACCAGAACAATTTAACTCCAATTACACTGAATGATACAGAGGTAAGTTACATAACATGAAGAAAACCTGTTTCGATATTTATTTTATACTTAAATATTACATTCCTGTGAAATTAGGGAAACCTTCTGATGACCTGATGTGGCCTTAAGTAACAAAAACACCAGTGACCACTGCCTCACAGTGTAAGTGGCATACTGTCTAGGAACCTTCTAGTCCTCTGACTATATGAAAAAAAAAGCTGGTTCAATAATATTAATATTTTTAATCATTAATATTAATCAGACATTATGATTTAGAAGGACTTCCAAAAATACGATGTCTATCTATTATGTGTCAGAAGTTAAGGGACACCACCCAAGTGATACAGGAAGTGAAGGCATATCTTTTAGCTAAGACAGTTTTCCAGGATCCCTTATTTCCCCAAGTATACAACAGGTCAAATCCTTGAGGTAATCAGAGTTCACTACAAAGAAGAGCCCAACAGTTAACAACTGAAGGTAGGCAATGCAACTCCTGAATCAAGGGCACCAATAAATTTCACAGTAAAAAGAATCCCAATAGCAAGTATGATTTTTTTTTTTTTTTTAAACAAAGAGTAGTTCTAATTCCTGGATGTATATCAGAGTCATTTGTGCAATTGTTTTTGCTTCTTTAAATACAGACATCCAGATCTTACCAACTAGAGATTCAGATTCAGTAGCTCTGGGACAGGGCTCAGGGTCCATACTTTTAAAGAGCTACATAGCACTTTCTTCTGCATAGCTAGGATTGAGGCTCTATTCACTGCTGCAGCCTTGTATGGTCTGCTTTAAGTCCCTTTATTTAAAACTTGACTACATTTTAGGTTGTTTCAATATAGATTAACCATCTAAGTAAGATAATCTTAATAACATGATAGGACCCATTAAATAAGAAATATGAAAAAAATGAAATACTTGGCAATTCTCTAACTGATCCAGAAACTTCCCCAAATCTCTTTAAAATGTTTAATAATAAGGTAAGAATCTTTTCTATGACAGAAGCTACAATAAGGTCATTAATAGTTTGTGAAGAACATAAAAACCAAGAAAGGACACTAAGCTTAAACTCATCTTTCTCTGTGAAAAGGAGGTTAGCTAGAGTCAGAGGATGGGAGGGGGGCCTTGATAGTGAGATAAAAGTAGACATGTCAGAGAACCTAAATTTCAGGCAATTAGTATCATTATAATTAAGGGTTCTTTACGTCTCTTAAGAGTACAAGTGTGAAACATAAAAGATAACTGAGTGGCCATCCAAATTCTTCCACTCCATAATTCTTTGACTTCTATTTTTCACACTTAATAACAAAGAGTACAGTATCCTTAGCACTGAATTCACAGTTCCCCCAGCTTACATATTCCTAGGCATACAAATGACAACAAATGAATTGCTTTTCTACTTTTTCATGCCTTGCCATTAAATAAATGCTAACTTTCTGATTTAAATCCATTGAGGGCCTACTATGACCAATTTCACATAATATAACCAATGATATATTATACCAACAGAGACAATATAAAATTATTCATGTATTTTTGTACGCTATCATTCAACAAAAATATGCCAAACTTATTTTATGCTCAGTTCATCTTATTATATTCCAAATGCATGCCTCTAGAAACTATTTATATATTTTCAAAACACGACACAGTACAGTCAATAACTAGTGACAGAAAAAAATGTGTAATAGGCTTATACTTTTCTAGTCTAGTTTACCAATAACATCTAGTACACCAATGTGTTAAAAGATGACTAAACATTCTGCTGATGATATACCATTTATATTAAAATCAGGAAATCAAAAACTTCATAGGTTAAGTATGTTATGAATACTGGTATAGCAAAAATAAAATTACAGAATACAATTCAAAACATTTCTAAAAATTTACAGCAATAATGGAAAACATCATGCCTTCTTATAGGGACACAGATCATGTCCAAGAAGGTTGTTCACTCCTCGTCACTTTCTAGAATATTTACTAATTGCCCCTGGTTTAGTATATAAACCCTCAAACAAGAGGTTGTGTTTAAGTGTATTCTAAAATATTTACCTTTACAGTAGCTAAAAACCTGTCCAAAAGACTGCTAGCCAGAGCAAATGTTTCTGGGTAAAGGTTGAATTGGTACTTGAGTTTGGCCAGCCACTGAATCACTTCATCTCTCTGGGATGGAGAAACATTCTACAAGGGAACAGTTAAAAGATAAAATAAAAATAAAAAAGAACAAGTGAAGTTCCAAGTTATCAAGAATGAATTCTCTCTTAAAAGGTTAGCAAATGCTATGGAATATGTTTATATGTTAAAAATGTTTTTAAGTTTACTCAAAATCTATCAAACTTAAGATGTACAAAGATAAAACATTATGTACTGGTCATAGCAATTTATCAATATCCAATATTCTCATTGTTTATTAAATAAAATCTTCACAATGTCATCTTACCATATACCTGTATCTTAATTAAACAAAGGTGTCCGGGGAATGTAACACTTTAAAGGTTAGGTAACACTATTATCAACTGACAGTAGTTTTGGAATTAGTTTCCCAATTAGTTTCTTATTCTCTAATAAGAAAATATAGTGAATTTCTTTTTAAGGCAGCAAATAGCCATTAAACCATCTTAGGAAATGTAAATGGAGTATGGTAATAGAATGACAGCCCATTAAAAACAAAACTAAAGTCAACAGGAATAAATTAAAGATATCAGGGACAATAGGTGAATTATACATTTAAAGATCATGGAAGAATACTGAAGGGGAAATTCACCTGAACTAATTTACCAATGGAGAGATTATTATACAAACATATGACATTATTGCTTCCTACATATTATTTTAAACTGCTGAGTACAGGCTTAATTTTTAGAAGCTACACACTTTAATGCAACAATGACTTAGCTATCTTGAGTTTTGCAGGCACTATAAAAAAAATACAAAATAAAACAAACCTAATAATAATCTACTTATAATAAATGAAACAGATCCATGAGAACTACTTCAACCAGGTAAACACAACAGAGTACAGAAATGACTCTGTGATTAGTGGAAAAAAGTATTTTCAATAAGTGAGGGTTCCAGACAAGTAAAGGTTTAATCCAAGCACTGCATCTTTGTAATTAAAACCATTTTAGATGGAAATCCTTTAAAATATATTATTTATCTCATTCCTTAGGAAAGTAGAGAGACCATAGCTTAAACCTCTTTCCTGATTACTCTAGGTCAATTTTATGAAATTAATTCTTATATCACAGAGAGATACATTAAGAGCCATGAAAGCAGGGTGGGCGGTATATCTTAATAATGTATCTTCTCAAACAGATATTTCAGTTGGAATTTCTTCTCTCCTTCCTCTTGGCTTTCTTTAGTGTTGTGAGAAATACATGACTCAGTGCTCATTATAATCTCTGCCATTGCATTGGCAAGCTAATTTCTCATTTTTTTTCCAATTCCTCTGTCACTTTTCATTTCAGCACAACATAGTAAACGGTTTCTTAGTGTTGGCCAAACCAACTAATCACACATTTTTACATCTAGCTAAACTCAGTTATAACTGGTTATTTCAGAAGGTTAACTGCCATATATCCACCTTCTAGTCAATTCCTTTTGTCAAATAAAGACTGACCCTAGACTACTGCACAAGAAATACAGACAAGAAATTGAGATAAAAATGGTTTACAACCTCTCACATTAACATCTCACCACCAAGCTGGTGTTAAAACTATGAACAATCAAAACATTTAATTCAGTTCATATTAATAATATACTAATAACATATTAATAATATTCAGGGTCCATCATATGATAGGTCCTGCGAATACAATGATGAATAAAAAAAAAGCTCCCTGTTTAAACTTCTAAACTTAAAAGTCTCATAGTGAGGCAATCAGAAAATGTCAATCAACTATGTTTAGTGTAAAAGAGAGGTATGCACAGGGTGCCAAGGGAATACACTGGAAGGGCACTTGGTCCCATATGGAAGTAGAATGAAAGCTTCTCATAGGAGATAGCAACAAACTTGTTTCTTAAAAAGTAAGGAGAGGATATGATCATTTTAAAGACATGGAAAAGAGCTATTTTTTTTTTAAGCCTGTGAACTTTTTTTTTTTATTTATTCGAGACACAGAGATACAGAGAGAGAGAGCATGAGCAGGGGGTGAGACAGAGGGAGAGGGAGTGGGAGAAGCAGGCTCCCCGCCGAGCCAGGAGCCCGATGTGGGGCTTGATCCCAGGACCCGGGGATCAGGATCTGAGCCGAAGGCAGATGCTCAACCATCTGAGCCACCCAGGCACCCTAAGCCTGTGAACTTTAAAGCATAGGAATGATGTCAACCTGGAGGAAATAACTTATTGTCAAGTTCTTCTGACTTGCAAATAAAATCAAGATGGGTGAAAAAGACTACTAGAAATGGATACTCTGAGAATCAGTGGTGTAATTCCACTGATCGAAAAGAAACATAGGCAGTTCACAAACTGAAACTGTGGGCTTGACAAGTTCTGGGTGCACAGAGTAGCAAGGGAATTTGTGTCCTGCACAGACTATTGTCCAACATGACAGAGGACACTGGAGTTAGGCTATTAGAACCAGGAGCTGAATTCTCTCTCTCACAAAAAGAGTCTGAAAAAGGTGGCAAAACATCATCTGGAGCTGTGGCTTCTCAAGAAAAGTGAGAGGAAGCAGACACAAACTGACAAGTAGGCCTTGAGTCAAAGAGCTATTAGCATGGTCATTGGTTCAATAATGTATCATTTTCCACAGAGCCCTGAGCTGCTACCTTAAGATCTAGTTCTGGACTAGGGGCTCCTAAAGGTCCCTGGGAACGAAGTAAAGGCAGTCTTCTAGATGAAGAGAGTTAAGCATTCAAGAGAAATTAAATCCCTACCAAGACAAGCTTTTATCTAAAATGCCAAAACAAATAGAAAAGTAATGTTAAGCCATCCATCCAATCAATGATAAGGAAATACGTTCACACAAGGAGAAAGTGTCTGGGTGGCTCAGTCGTTAGTGTCTGCCTTTGGCTCAGGTCATGATCCCAGGGTCCTGGGATCGAGCCCCGCATCAGGCTCCCCGCTCAGCGGGAAGCCTGTTTCTCCCTCTCCCTCTGGCCCTCTGCCAGCTTGTGTGTGCTCTCTCTCTCTCAAACAAATAAATAATCTTTAAATTAAAAAAAAAAGTAATGTTAAGCCATCCGTCCAAACACATCAATGATAAGGAAATACATTCACACAAGGAGAAATAGATGGTGATAGAATCTGATGAAACTGGGGGGCTTGAAGGAGGTCAAAGAACAATGATCCAGAGTAGTAATGAGGAACAAAAACACCATTAATTCTACCTTCAGCTCAGAGATCCATACAATGGGGACGGAGGAGAAAAAGATCCCTAAATGACAAATTATATATAATGTGCCTATTTGCTGTCTGACATTAAAGAAATGACAAACATATAATTTTAAGAAGGGCCACAAAAGTTGGACATAATGTGCTATAAGAGCACGTAACATAGGGAACACAGTTACATAGAGATTTCCGTATCATGGTTATAACTAAATGAGCCAACTTTTAGAAAGCACATAGAATGCAAAAGGCACTCAAATGCTAGTTTTGTTCTTTCCCACTTCTAAAAATACCTGATACTCTAATGATGCCAGAAAAAACCAAATTTACAAAATACTACATACAAATAATTATTTTAAACCAACTGTAATACAACTAGTTATGAAAGAGATCATGACAAATCTTTGGACTTTATACCTTATATTGAAATATGGGAATAGGGCCAAGAAAGCATTCCTGCATGGCTAGTATTATCATCACTAGTCAAAACTAATAACAACAACAATAGCAACAAAAAAACCCCACAAAAGTTAATAATTTAAAACTCACCCTTAGGGAAGTCATACTAAGATCACTTTTTCAAATCAATTCAAACATGTACTAAACAGTAATATTATCAGGATAGCTTTACAAAAATGAAGTTCTGTGTCGAAGTGATCCAATTCAGAAGGAAGGACGGGAGGAAGAAAGGAAAGCAGAACAGCCTGCCCACCCTAGAAAGTACTTCCTGGTCAAGGGATCTGTTTTCTTTTACATGGATTCCTCAAATAGAGTTAAGCCAGGTCAGTAAGTTGAACAACTAACTAATCCTCAAGAGAATTTAGAATGGATTGATTGAATCTGGTAAAACACAGGGTTTTGTATTCCACATGCCACTATTCTGATCATTAAAATACAAATCCTCTCTAGCTTTAAACTCTAAAAGGCTCACCATTACCTAAAAGAGTTAAGTATAAGCCCCCAGGTGTGGCGTACAAATCCGCATGACCTACCTCTCCAGCCTCACTCACCTTCCATCACTTTCTCCCTTAAAATTCATACTGTAAGAGTATTGTATTGTACGTGTATTTATGGTCCTTCCTTGCTCCTGCTATGCTATTTTATTACATCACTTCTCTGTTCATACTGTTCCCTCTGGTCGGTACACACCCCTCTCTCTTTTACCTACTGTTATTATTTATCCTTCAAGAGCTATTTCAATGGTCACTCCTCACCACACTTTTCCTAGTAACTCTAGTTGGGCTAAGTACCTTCCTGTGCTCCCACAGCCTCTCTTGTCACACCTGTAAAGTTCAACATTTTAAAAAAATTACATTTCTGCTTTTGGCTGTGATAGAATAGGTAGCAACCTACACTCCAGCTGAGAACTAGAAAAGCTATTCACCACCACCACCACCACTTGTTTTGAAGTCATCAAAACTGCTAGGACAACCGGGCTTTGCAGAACCAAGATTCTGGAAAAGAGGTACAAGTATCCCCCCAATTTCGAAAGTCCATGTTACGTCACTTATCTTTTACTAAAAACCTACCTTAGTACCTTAAAAAATCCACAGATTTTCACTTTTACGAAAAAAGGCAAAAAGTAAAAATAGCATTCAGCATTCGTTTTGCAGCAAGCTGTTACAGAGACAGTGGCACACCCAGAGCAGCAAATTGGTACTACCCATCTCCTTCCCCCAAACCACAATCAGCACCTCAGCCGTCAAGCTCTGAACTGTGTCTGTGAGCACCAGGGTTTTATCTTGATTTATTTTGCCCATCTGTTAGCAAGATGTGACCTAAGATATCAGAAAAGCCAAAGAGAGGGTCTGGGAACACTCAAAAAATTTCCCTTATAAATTAATGGTAAT